GCTGGAGGCGCAGAGGACAGCGGGATTGATGAGGGGATACTGGCGCAGCCACAGTTGCTGCATGGCTCAGTGCTGCAGAGCTGGGTCGCCAGTCATCAGACCGGTAGGGACGCATCGGAGAGGAGTGCGGGGCCTGGCCAAGCATTTTGGAAGTGCCAGGAGCTGACACAGGACAGAAAGAGACAAGAGGGCAGCCTTGAATGCCTGGGGTCACAGATAATGACTAAAACAAGAACAGGAGTCCTGATTGTATGGTGTGCAAATAATAACCAGTATTCTCTAGGACATTTAGCTTTGTGAGAGTAGTTTTTCATAAATTTACCTGATTACATTTAATCCTTTCTACAGTCCACTGGAATTTGGGGGATGATTATTAGTGTTATTGTTGTCACCACCCTTTATTGGGGTTTGGCGAGCTGTGGGGAAATCAGAGATGAATTAAAGCCAAATGTTGGGACTGGCACAGTAACCTAATGACTGAAGTCCTCGCCTTGCATGCGCCAGGATCCCGTATGAGCACTGGTTCTAATTTCAGCAGTCCTGCTTCCCATCCAGCTCCCTGCTTGTGGCCTGGGAAAACAGTCCAGGATTGCCCAAAGCCTTGGGATCCTGCACCCATGCAGGAGACCTGGAAGAGGCTCCAAGCCGTTGCATCCACTTGGGGAGTGAATCAGTGGAGGAAGATCTTCCTCTCTGTCTCTCCTCCTATTTGTATATCTGACTTTCCAATAAAAATAAATGAATCCTTAAAAAAAAAAGTCAGCAAGTGCCTATGCCAACCTGGGAATTCCTTCAGGTCTGCTGTTGAGTATATCTTAGGGCCTTGGGTATTGCTGTCTTCACAAGTTGTCGTAAGAGCAACCCTTCTATGGCCTACATGTTACTTCTCCTGGTTTATTGGGAAGGGCCCAAGGGTCCTTGGGAGTCACCCAGTGAATTCAGTGCTAGCTGATAGTGTTACCTGAGGACACCTCCACACCAGGCTTTTAAAGTTCAGTCACCTATGGTGCTATGTAACATTTAAGAGAGATGTACCTTAGAAGTGTACCCAACAATGGAAAGAAAACCAAAGAAATGAAGTTGAATGTGGGGATGAGAGAATTAAGGAGGAACAAAACGTGGAGGTCATCCTCCCTGGGTACCCTAAATCCAGGCAAACTTTGTGAGTAGTTAACCCAGGGTTGAGATGGACTTGCGGGAAGGGACATGCCCGATCTGAGATCTGGCTACAACCCCTAGCCTTTGCATTTTTAAACATTTTGTTTATTAGAAAGGCAGTTATAAAGAGGGAAAAAGAGAATGTTCCATCTATAGCTTAACCTGTTTTGTCACTGTGCTGCCCCTGTGGGATGATTTTGATGCCGTATCAACTCTGCCATTTTTCTAGCACTGGTATAACTCTTGAGCCCACCATTCTGTTGGAGCTATCGACTCCATGTGGACTTTTGTTGAAGATCAGACAAGGGGAGTGTTTTCCTAGGTATGTGAGTTTGTGTTCTGTCTTGGGTCTGTATTTTTGTTTTTCATCAATTGTTTAAGCCCATGCTGGTTGCTCTTGCCTCACTGGAGCTGCTCTGATAGCTTGAAGGTGACTGAACTGGATGATGTTTCAGATGAGAGCCAAACATTTTGCTGTGGATGATATTCTCCTTCATGCTCTCACTGAGGAGATATGACAAGAAGGTGGTGATGCTGTTCTCAGCTTCCCAAAGGACAGGGGCACCAATGTTCCACACTCCAAGACCCAACTCTGCTAGCCCTCGGTTAAGTATGGCCACAGGAACCAGTAGATAGGAAGAAAGTTGTGGAGAAGGGTACAAGCATGAGACTGTACTCTTGGTGATGGAAGGTAAAGAAAGAGGATATTGTTGGAAATAACCTTCTGGATAGAAAGAAAAAATGAGGTAAATGTGTTGTAGATATTTTGTGGAAGGTGAATGCTGTGTAAAATGAGGATGGATGATTGAAATGAAGTAGCAAGCCTTGAGACAAGGGGCCTCCAGAGCAGCATATGCAAAGATGACTTCTTCCCAAGGGTGCAGGTGCCCAGCAGGCAGAGCCGATGAGAGCCCTCAAGCCAAGCAAGGATATAAGGGCAAGTATTTATACCATTTCTAAATGTGCTTGTCTAGCCCTTCATACCCATGTGCGCATTTGGAAGCAGAAACACTTCTTCACCATAGGTAGGTCCCTTATCAGATATCATCAGAGATCAATTGTTACCATTCAGTGTCTCTTCTCAGGGAAGCAGCCAGGATACACCACAAGGGACATCGAAAGGGGAAAGGAGAAATGGGTGAGGGCAATCGATCCGCAGATCTTGCAGCCAAAATGGCAGCCAGGAAGCTCCCCTCCCTGAAAGTAGAAGCTGTTTTAATCTGGGAGGACTCCCTTGTGAGGGGTGAGCCCCTAACATTGCCCTAGTGACTTGAAGTGGGCACTTACCAAGGAATACAACCTTTATCCTTCAGGATGAATTGTAGTTTGAGGAAATTTTGATTCTCACCAGCTAAGCCGGAGTTAAAGCTCAAATCTTTCTCAGTTTATGAGTAAATGCTCTGCATCAAGGAAAAATTTTGACAGATGAGGGGATAGGGGGCAAGAAAATGATGATGGACTAAAAGAAAAGAAAAAAAAAGAAGAAAACCTCTAGCTCCCATAGGAAATTTGGTTTTAGAGAAGTTAAAGGCTATTGTTTCGTGGTACACGTTTGTGAACTAGCTTACTTCCTATACAAGATAACTGACTATGGATTAAAATATTTCTGATAGCGCTCCATCATTCTGACATCACATTTCTGTAGAAACCTACTGCTTGCAAGACAGGTTGTCTCCAATGTTTTGGAAGAATCAAGTGCAAACCCACCCAATAGCAGCAGTTCTAACAGACTCCTTTGAACAGGAAGAGGTGGGGAGGAAAGATGGAATGAACATGTGGATGGGATGGTTGGGCTGATTTAAGATTGTTGTTAATACAACAGAGTCACTGGTGCTAAGCCTTTGCCTGTAGCACTGGCATCTCATAAGAGTGCCAAGTTGAGTCCTGACTACTGCATTTCCCATCCAGTTCCCTGCTTGTACCCTGGGAAAGTAGCAGGGATAACTCAAGTTTTTGGACTCTAGCACACATGTGGGAGACATGGAAGAAGCTCCTGGCTCCTAGTTTTGTACCAACTCAGCTCTGGTGACTGTGGCCATTTGGGGAGTGAGCCAGCAGATGGAAGATCTGTCTGTCTTTCCTTCTTAACCTCCGCATTTCAAATAAAAATAAAATATTTTTTTAATACACCAGAGTTTGTAATAAAAGTTCCTTTCCTTACAATAGTTTTCTGTGTCTGTCTGTCTGTCTGCTGAACCTGGGTGTCACGGGGAATAGTGAGCCCACCAAGCCTGGGGCTGGAAGGGTGCCTCAAGGCCCCAGAGAATGAGCATCCCTTCTGTTCTTCTGGCTCCTTGGAGAGGAAGAGCAAGAAAAAAGATGAATGCATGTGAGACAAGTTCCTTTGTGACTGCGCATAAAGGCACAGGGGAACAATATTTGTACAAAGTTAGCATTTACTTTTAAATGCCCAGTAGAATTCACTAGTAAAGACATGGGCCTGTAGTTTTCTTTGTGTAAGTTTTAACTAGACTTTCAATTTAGTTTAATGCTTATTTTCCTACTATCTTGTGGCCTCTGTGGTTTCCAGCTGAGAGATCTATCAGAATTTCAGTTATTATGCCCTTGATGTGAAACGCTGTTTTCTTCTTTCTGCCTTCAACATTTCTGTTTTCTGTTTCAGTCTGTATTAGTCTGTAGTGAATTGAGTTTGATATATCTGATGTGGTTTTCCTTGAAGTTACTTTGTTTGGTATTAATATCTTGGCATAAATCTGTCTTTTGCCCTATTTGGGAGGCCATTGACCATTCATTAATATTCATTCAACAGCTTCTTTCTCCTTTCCTGGCACTCTAAGCTGTGCATGTTGGACTTCTTGAGATTGTTCCAGAAGCCACCAGGTCCCTGCTTTTGTTTTTGTGGGGTTTTTTTCCTGCTTTATACCCTTAGATTGGATAATTCTTATTACATGAGCTTTAAGTTTCATGTATCTCTTCTCTTTTATCTCCTTTCTGCTTTTGAGATAACACAGTAAAAATGTTTTCTCAAATATTATATTATTCATCTCATTGACCAGATGTGGAGATGGCAGTGTGAGGGTTAGTGACAAAGTTGTAGTGATTGAGACCAATTGTTTTCCAAAGTGCAGGTTACTGTGCCTTGTATGATAATATCACATTTTTCTTTAATTCTAACATCTTAAAAGTGGATAATAATTTTGAAATCAGAACATGATACAAATAATGAAGAGTAAATAGTAGTCATTTTTCTGTATGTTTGTGTGTACAAAAGAGACTGAGATGTGAATGAATCTCTTACTGAGAAGTTTCAACAATGTTTAAAAAATAGTTTAAACTGTGATAATGAGATGTCTCAGAATGAATAGTATACCTGTGGTTGACCACAGATATTTCTAATGCATAATTCTTTTGTTATTAGATGAATTTTAGAATGCAGCTATAAATGTTGTAATTCTTATTTTCCATTGCAGGAAACTTAAATATATATACACAATTGGAAAGGCAGATTTACAGAACGAAGGAGAAATAGAGAAATATCTTCCATCCACTGGTTCACTCCCCAAATGGCCACAACAGCCAGAGCTGAGCAGATCAGGAGTCAGGAGCCTCTTCCAGGTCTCCCACATGGTGTAGGGTCCCAAGGCTTTGGGTCACCTTCCATTGTTTACCCAGGCCATAAGCAGGGAGCTGGATGAGAAATGAAGTAGCCAGAACAAGAACTGAAACTTTTTTTTTTTATTGAGCTGAATTAAGAGCTCAGCAATATGCTCTTTGGACCATTTTGCAAATTTATTCTTTCATAACCTGAGTAAGTACCTCCACTTAATTAGATCTCTGAGCTCACTTCGAGCTATGGTTTCACTTTGAAACGTTTTTAGCAGAACTAGCTGCTTGATATTAACACCCATCTAATCCTGTAGGCAAGGAACCTTTTCTGATTAGTGCCCTAGAATGAAACTAAATTTTTGAGGGAAAAGTTAGAATAGTCTGAACATAACACTCTTTTTCTCCTAGTCCCGTGTAGACATTTGTGAAATTCACAACTTCCTTTTTCTCTTTATGTCTTCCTAGCAAGTGAGTCTCACTGTGCAGGGGAGTTCTGCAGACCCCAAGCTGGATGATCATGGCTGCTGCCTCCCTGCTGAGGAACCTGGAGGATGAGATGTTGTGCTCCATCTGCCTAGACTTCTTGAAGGATCCAGTGACCATCGACTGTGGTCACGTCTTCTGCTACCTCTGCATCATTAAGGTCTGTGAGTCTTCAAAGCACGCACTACATTGTTCTCTCTGCAAGTTAGCTTTTAAGAAAGAGAACATCCGCCACGTGTGGCAGATGGCCAGCCTGGTGGAGAACATCTGGAGAATGAAGATAGATGAGGAGCAAAACACCCAAGAAGAAAGACCCCCAGAGCAGCAAGCAGAAAAGCTGTGCAGGCGACATCTGGAGAAGCTGCATTACTACTGCAAGGACGACAAGCAGATCCTATGCGTGTTGTGCCGCGAGTCCTGGGAGCACAGGCACCACACTGCCATTCTCTTGGAGAAAGCTGCACAACCTTTTCGGGTGAGGATCCCCTGCTCTGCCCTTGTAACCCTGAAAAGCTCTGAATTTTCAGAATAAGGTCAATTTTTTTAAAGGTGCAATTTTCATATATAATTTTTAAAAGATTTATTTATTTTTACTAGAAAGGCAGATATATAGAGAAGGAGATATAGAAAGATCTTCTATCTCCTTATTTCACTCCCCAAGTGACCACAGCGCCCAGAGCTAAGCTGATCCAACGCCAGGAGCTTCTTCCAGGTCTCCCACACGGGTGCAAGGTCCCAAGGCTTTGGACCATCCTTCAGTGCTTTTACAGGCTACAAGCAGGAAGCTAGATGGAAAGTGGAGCAGCTGGGATATGAACTGGTATCCATATGGGATCTTGAGCATGCAAGGCAAATATTTAACCATTAGATTATCATACTGGGTCCAGAATATGACTTTTTAAGTTGGGGGTAGAATATACCTGTGAAACCATCACCACTGTCAAAGCCATACATGTATCCATCATGACCCAGAGTCTCCTCTCACACCCTTTTTTGTATGATTTCTTTCCATGTGTGTATGGTAGCAGCACTTAAGATGCCCTTTTTGCAAATGTTCAGTCTGCAATATAGAAATATTAATCATAGGTATAGTGCTTTAGAGTAGATTTCCAGAACTGACCTGTATAACGGAAACTCTGGTCCCTCTTTCACCTCCCTGTTTCTCTACTCAGTAGCCTCTGGCATCCACCACTCTGTCATAGAAGCTCCACTATTTCAGAACCTCGTGCAAGTCAGATCATACAGTATGTGTCTGTCTTATTTCACTAAGTACTGTCTTCTAGGTTCATCTGCATGGTCAAAATGACAGGATTCCCTTCCTTTAAAGGGTGGATAATATTTCACTATTTGTGTAGACCACATTTTATTTATTCATTGATCCATTGCTGGACATTTAGCTTGTTTCCACAGGTTTGTTACGAGAAAAATGTTGCACTGAACATGGCATGTAGATCTCTCTTTGAGATCCCAAATTACTTTTGAATAAATGCTCAGAAATAGAATTTCTGGATCATACAGTAATTACATTTTTAATTTTTTGAGGAGCCTCTGTTTTGTTTTTGTAAGGATCCTCAGTTTGTGTTCCCACCAGCTGTCCAACTGTGCATCAAGGTTTCCTGTCTGCATCCTCACCTCACTTGTGCTGTTTTAATTTGTAAGTGTAAACATCACAACAGGGATGAGTTGATGGGCCAGATGCTTTAATATGAAAGTTCGCGGTAAACTGCCACTCTGACTTTCGTTTAAAAAAACAAAAACATGATTTGTTTCTGTATCAGTTTATGGCAGTCCCATTGCCTTGCCATTTTGATTTCCAAGGCATTCAGACCAAAACTCAACCAGCAAAAGAGGATACCAGTATTACTGCTGTTTCTCAGCATTGACAGAGTACTTAAAAAAGATTGTGAAAGTTTTGATTTTTTTTTTTCTTGAAGATGTACTTGTTTAACTAAAAGGCAGAATTACACAGAAAGGGAGAGATCTTTCATTTACTGGTTCACTTCCCAAGTGGCCATAACACTGGGGGGCTGAGACAGACCAAAGCCAGGAGCTAGGAACACTGAATCTTCCAAACGCATGATGAGGACCAAATACTTGGGTTATCTGCTGCAGTTTTCCAAGGCGCATAAGCAGGGAGCAAGATGGGAAGCGGAGCAGCCAGACTCAAAGAGCCACTCACGGAATCCTGACATTGAAGGTGGTAACTTAGTCTGCTGGACCACAATGCCAGTCCACAAACTAAAACTCGAAAAGTTTATTTTTGTTGTGGAAGGGAAACCTTTGAAACCTATGCACTTTCTTCTCATAAATGTATATTTTAATTGCTTTTGTTTTAAAGAATATTTATTTATTTATTTTAAAGTCAGAAGTAAAGAAGAGAGATTTTCCACCAGCTAGTTCACTCTTCAGATGGTCACATGGCCAGTGCTCGGCCAAGCTATATGGCCAGGAGCCAGGAGCTTCATTTGGGTCTCCCACATTGGTGGCAGCAGCCCAAAATCTAGGGCTGTCTTCCACTGTTCTTCCCAGGCCATTAGCAGGAAGCTACAGTAGAAGTTGGAGAAGCCAAGACATGAACTGAGACCCATCTGGGATACTTGTATCATAGGCGGTTTTACTCACCATGCCACAATGCTGGTTCCATAAATATGTGTCTTCTATGTATTTTTTGAGGACCCTTCTTGATGGAAATTGTGCCTTCTCCTGTGAATAACTTTTGTAGAAATATTTTTGAGTATATCATATCTTTTATAAAATCTCCATTATTAATTTTCTTTAATAACCTAATAATAAGAGAAATGTTACATTCTCTGGGGATACTAGACAGGTCTTTTTTGTAAAGTTATATTTTTAAAGATTTATTTATTTTTATTGGAAAAGCAGTTATACAGAGAGAATGAGATAGAGAGAACTGGCACCCATATGGGATCCTGGTGCATGCAAGGCAAGGACTTTAGCCACCAGACTACCATGCTGGGCCCTAGAATGTTTTCTCCTATTTTCTAATAAGAATTGCATTAACATGTCCCTTTTCTCCTTGACTGACAAAAGTCTTAAAGCAGATTTAGTCATTCTTTCAGCAATTCAGGATTAGTCTTCTCTTTTCATATTGACTTTTAAAGTATAATTTTGATGAAAAAGGAAAATATTAGTAAATACATATGTGTGTTTGGGGATACTCAAAAAATTTATGGGAAGTGTATATTATAAAAATATGACATATGAATTTCTGAGAACTTTTACACCAAAATAACTTGTTTTTACATTCTATTTTCCACAATTTTTTAAAGTATTCTCATAAGAACTATAGCATAAGTCTCAATGGTTGAGTAATAATACATTATTACTATTTTATCTCACTTCTAGACAATTGCTCTAAGCCAGTGCATCTCTCATTTTGTTTCTTCATCATTAATTAGAAGGGAAATTGTAATTTTTGCTATACACTATAAGGTTAAACATTGTCTAGTTTCATCCTGGAGTCTCTTCGTGTGCCCTTTTTTATTGAGGTCATTTCTACCTTGAGTTTGAAATTATTTATGTATATTTCCATAGGGTAAAATTCTAAGCCATCTGAAGGTACTGAAGGGAGACAGGGATAGAATTCAGAATTTTCAATCTACAGGACAGGATGAAATTCAAGCCCTGCTGGTGAGTTTTGAGTTTAGAGAGAATGTTGTGTGTGCATGGGAGTGGGGTCAGGGTGTGTGTGTGCTGAGGCTGGGGGAAGGAGGGTAATGGATAAAATTCTTATTCTAAACATATCCCCAGAAAATCTCAACTCTCTGGTGCTTGCTAACTTTCCAGAAAAAAAAAAGTATTGTCTTTTTCTCTTTCCGAATTTACTGTAGACAAAATTCCAGAACTACAAGCAAGACATTGCTACAGTGTTTGAACTGAGCCATCAGTTCTTGAGAGAAAAGGAGCAGTGTCTCCTGGAGTGGCTGGTGAGACTGGAGCAAGAGCTCACTGAAGGGAGGGACAGCTGTGTCACCAAAGGCTTAGAGGAAGTGGTCCGGCTCGGGACTCTGATCTCTGAGTTGGAGAAGAAGGCTCGGCAGCCAGCCCTCGAACTTCTGCAGGTGAGGCATTAGCCAAACCGCATCTGAACCCTTTTGCTCCAAGCTGTAGTGTTTTCTCAAGAGAGACAAAATTTTATTCTCGTTTTCTGAGTTCTTTAACAAATCCATCAGCCAGCCAATAGACTTGAAGCCCTTGCAGTGGGCAAGGGACTATAACATGTAACCATATACTAAAGCATCAAGGTATGTATGAATAATTGAATGCTAAATCTTGTGACCTGACTGGAAGCCACGGGAATTCTAGGAAAGTTAGAATTTAATCAAGAAAATTTTAACACAAGAATAAGCTCTTCATGTTAGCCTTGAAGAAAATGTATGGATTTGGATTATCAGAAAGGAAGAGCTGAACAGAAAGGAAGTTGAATCAGAAAGAAAGAGGGAAATGGATTGGTTAGAATGAAGTAAATGAACGTGATGATAAACTGGGTGGATGTGGGCAGGGGGATGTGGGTACAAAGAAAGCTAGGGACGGAAAGGTGGTAGGAATACAGGAAGGAGCCATGTGAGCAGGGTGAAAGGAGCTACCTCTCTGGTAGAACGAGTTACCGGGAAGATGCCAGAGCTCGAATGGGACTCAGTGGAACAGAAGCCTTCCAAGGCTGCCTGAGATTTCAGTCTTGACTTGCTAGACAGAGGGAGATTCTTAGCAGATTGTGTGTAACTGACGAGGTTTCCTAGGGATCTAGTGCTCAGGAGAGGGTAGGAGGGAGGGGCATGGTCCCCTTGCAAGCTGGTCCTATGGGGCACAGCAGAGCAGGCTCCGTCAGAACAGCGTCCTCTGCAGTCTGTGACCGCTTGCTGCTGAGCCCATCAGGGACTGGTGAGGGCTCCCTCCTGAGAACCTGATTGTTTTGACAGTCTGTCCTCTTCTTTCAGGACCCAAGTGACATATCAAGCAGGTAAATGCATCTTACATTTTTTAAAAAATACTTATGATATCCCCTTGTTTTCTCTCTCTTTATTTTTTACGTTTGACAAGAACTGGAAAAGGGGTTCCTGGTAGGATAGTTGAAAAGGCATTTCGTGAAATATGGGTAGGGTGCTGGGAAAAGTTTTCATGAAATTTATGTGAGGATGGCAGTGAGTTAAGAGAAATGAAATGGCAGATTGTAAAAGAGTATTGGAAAAAATGTAAAACTCTGAAACCGGTTTCCTTTCATACTATCCTTTCCCTTAGGGTTCCCAGGTGCTTCTGACCACAGTTTCCTCTGTTAAGCACATTATATTATCAGATTGTCCTCCGTGCTCAGCAGTGATGATTTCCTGTGCTCTGCCTGCTCACAGGGCGGAAACACACACACACACACACACACACACGTACAGGGCACAGGATTCATGAAGTCTCTGGTACTGGGTCTGAGGAAATATATGTTAACACTTAACATGAGCAGTTTTCAAGCTTACAGCCACATGATATTCAGGAGCTTTGGACACATTCAAAAAGTCAGGCTTTTTTTTAAAAAAGATGTATTTATTTTAACTGAAAGGCAGAATTACAAAGAAGGAGAGAGAGAGAGAGAAAACCTTCCATCTGCTGATTCACTCCCCAGATGGCTTCAATGTCCAGCGCAGAGCAGATTTGAAGCCAGGATTTTGTTTCAGAGGTTCCCACATGGGTGCAGAGGCCAAGGGACTTGGGCCATCCTCTGCTGCTTTCCCAAGCAAGGAGCTGGATGGAAAATGGAGCAGTGCCAGTGTCAAAAGACAGGAGTTTTGATTATCCACCCTTCATCTTTGGAGACATCCCGGGCTCTTGAAGCATTTGGTCTGTGGAAGCAAATGGGTAGAAAGGAAAGGAATGAGCTGCCTTACCAGATCCTGACTGGGGACACTGGGCAGCCATGTCACAGATGAGCAATTAAGGAATGAGGCCAACACAGAATGAGTAATACTTCTTGCCTGACCTATTTTGTCTGATAAAGTTACTGTAGTTCTCTTTCTATTCTTTATTTCTGAATCTGTATTTTCTATGTCTCTCATAAACAATTTGTTTTGTTTTTAGTAAATACATTCTGATGGCTTTTATTTAATAGGAATATTTAGTATGTATATCTTTTAGAAAATTGCCATTTCACCTGCATTTTTAAAGTTTTTTGCATAGGCAAAATTATATACCTAAATGTGTGAATTTTTCTTATGTATAAATACTTTTTATTTTGTGAATTTCTACTTTTATATCATTTGCTTTCTGCCATTTTTTGTTTCTTTGTTTTTTAGAATTTATTTACGTGAAAGGCAGAGTTACAGAAAGAGGAGAGACAGCGAGAGAGCAAAGTCTTTCACCCTCTGGTTTGCTCCCCAAATGGCCACAATGGCCAGAGCTGAGTTGATCTGAAGCCAGAAGCCAGAGGCCAGGAGCTTCGTCCAGGTCTCCCACATGGGTGCAGGGCTCTAAGAACTTGAGGCATTCTCTGCTGCTTTCCCAGGTATATTAGCAGAGAGCTGGAAAGGAAGTGAATCAGTGAGGACATGAACCGGGGGCTCATAGGGGACGCTAGCTCTGCAAGCAGAGGATTAGCTCAATGCACCACCATACTGGCCCCTATTTTGAACTTTTGAATTTCATTTGTTGTTTAACATGGGATTTAAGGAAATAATTGTCATCAATGCTGCTTTTCAATATAGCTTTTGTTTTGATAGTTTTAAAATCTTGCAATTAAAGTGTTGCTTTCATCTGTTGTTAAAAATCTGCAAAATTTCCATGTTATAAATTTTTATGATTGTTTCAAACACTTGAAAAAGGTGCAGGGTCTAGTATGGTAGCCTAGTGGCTAAAGTCCTCGCCACTAAATTTCATGTTCCAGCTGTTCCCCTTCCCTTCCAGCTCCATCACTGTGGCCTGAGAAGACAGTAGAGGTTGGCCCAGGACCTTGGGATCCTGTACCCACAAGGGAGACCTAAAAGAAGCTCCTAGCTCCTGGATTTGAATGGGCTCAGCTCTGGCCACTGCGACCACTTGCCGAGTGAACCAGCACATGGAAGATCTTTCTGTCTTTCCCTGTCTCTTTCTTGGTTTTCCAATAAAAATCAACAAAATTTAAAAAAAGAAAGAAAATAAATGCAGCCACTGTTTTCTTGAAATAGAATTTCATAGTCTATCTCCAAGATTTTTTCCTTTGTAATTTTGTTTGGTTTTCATACTTGCCTTTTGACTGTTTAGTATGTCCTAGACGGTTTAATGATCCTCTCAGAGAGGTCAGTTACAGACCCGTATAGAAATGTGTTCCAAATTGTAGGTTTGCTTTTTTCTCCTGCCTGATCTTTGAGAATTATATCTTAGTTATAGATTATAACATTTTAGATAACATAAATTACCCTATATTGTTTGAATGTTTTTCTTCTTTGCATTCAAACCCATGTGACAATAAGATCAAGACCTCAGATTTATTTTATTTTGTATTTAGCCTATTTGTTTCTTCCCAGCTTTAATCTCAATTTTAAAATTGAAAACTTCTTTTAAAAATTAAATTCAGGGCCCTGCGCGATAGCACAGTGGTTAAAGTCCTCGCCTTGCACGTGCCAGGATCCCAAATGGGCACCGGTTCTAATCCCAGAGACCCTGCTTCCCATCCAGCTCCCTGCTTCTGGCCTGGGAAAGCAGTGGAGGCTGGCCCAAAGCCTTGGGACCCTGTACCCGTGTGGGAGACCCGGAAGAAGCTCTTGGCTCCTGGCTTCAGATTGGCTCAGCTCTGGCCGTTGCGGCTGCTTGGGGAGTGAATCATTGGATGGAAGATCTTCCTCTCTGACTCCTCCACTCTGTATATCTGCCTTTCCAATTAAAAAAAAAATCTTTTTTAAAATCTTAAAAAATAAATTCAAAGTTTCATCTTTTCATCTTAATTTTCATTTATTTGCTATTCATCTTCAAATAATTTCTTTAAAAATCATAACATTAGTAGCATGTTTTGAAGTACTTCTAAAGCAAAAAGAAAAGAAAAGAAAGAAAGAAAGAAAGAAAGAAAGAAAGAAAGAAAGAAAGAAAGAAAAGAAAGATGACCCTTTGTTTTAAACATTTTATATAAATGGCATAGTGGGGTATAAGTGGCCCTATCTCAGAGCTGCCTACTTACTCCTTGATACTGGAACTGACGTTTGGAAGCTTTGTGCTTACTCTCTGCCCCTGGGGCCTGTGGTGGGTGTGGCAGGGTGGTTCCCCCGCACATGCGGGGACAGTACAAATGCATGTTTTTCTGCTAGCAATTCCCACTGTGGCTGTACTTTCTCTAGGTATCCCAGGAAGAAGTTCTGGATTGAAAAGCCGATCAATCCTGCAATCAAAAAACAGGCTGAAGAATTTTCAGACAAACTTCTTTCTTTAGAGAAAGGACTCAGAGTCTTCCATGGTAAAGGAATGGATGAAGGGAGGGGTCCGAGCCTGGGGGTTCTGTTTTCTGATATTCCCTTTGATTTTGATTCTGCCTTTGCTGTCGTGCAAAGTCACTCAGGCCAGTCAGAGCGCTGGGAAGGGAATCACAGTCAGTGCAAGCCAGGGAGTCTTTCCACGCAACAGCCGAAAAATGCTGCCAAGACTAAGGAAGAGCTGTTTTTTTGTTTGGTTTGGTTTGTTTTTTGTTTTAAGATTTGTTTATTTTATTGGAAAGGCAGATATACAGAGAGGAAGAGAGACAGAGAGGAAGAGCTTTCATCCGATGATTCACTCCCCAAGTGATTGCGATGGCTAGTGCTGCGTCAATCCAGAGCCAGGAGCCAGGAACTTTCCTTCAGGTCTCCCACGCGGGTGCAGGGTCCCAAGGCTTTGGGCTGTCCTCTGCTTTCCCAGGCCAGAAGCAGGGAGCTGGATGGGAAGCAGGGTCTCTGGGATTAAAACCGGTGCCCATATGGAATCCTGGTGCATTCAAGGCGAGGACCTTAACCATTACGCTATCACACTGGGCCCCCAGAGCTGGTTTAAAAAAAACCAAAATTCATATATAAAAGTAAAGAATACATATATTTAGAGGCTGAGAAAACGGCATGGCAGTTCCCCGCAAAAATCTGAAAATAGAATATGATCTGTTCACCACATTTCTGGATATGTACCCCAAAGAGTTGAAGGCAGAATGCTAATAAGATTTTCATATACCCACATTGTTATCCAATAGCCTACAGGCATAAGCATCCATCTGTAGGTGAATGGATAAGGGAAATACAGTATAACCATGAAGCAGAATCTTGTTTCACCTCAAAAGGGAGGGGAAACCAGATGTGCTCCAACATGGGTAAACCTTGAGGATACTTAATAAATAAAGTAAGCCAGGCATAAGAAGACTACCTAATGTCTGCTTTTAAAATTAGGTTAGCTGACACCAAGAAAATTTGCCCTAGTAATATGCGGTGGTAGAATCTTTCACTGTATTTTTCTCCATTCACTCTAGGAAAGTTGATGAAGGATCTGGAATACAAAACAAGTGAGTATGCGGAAATAAGGGTAGACTTTTTTTCCCCTCAAAGTGAAATTTCCATTTCTTCACTAAGCTCCTTATCATTTCCCTAAACAGCAAGGTCTGTGTCATACCTCTCTGTTATGAACCCTCAGCTTTCAAAACCAGAAACTTTTGGGGTGCTTTCCCCAGATTTAATGATTCCAGTTCCTCTCTCCTTCTCTTCCTGGATGTCATCGTGTTGCCTGTGCCTCTGTATTTCCTTCCCACGTTCTCTCCATTTTCTAGATATGGGAACCACCAGTAGTATGAGCACAAGGTCTAAAGCATTCTTTGTCTTGGTCCCCAGTGGGAGGCTCTCCTCACTGTTAGAAAGGCCCCAGAGCACGCGGGTCAAATGTCCTTTACATATTTTATACCACACTTTTATCCCCTTATCCCTACAGTGAAGATCGTCCTGAATTCTCAGACAGCCAATGGTTACCTGTCAGTGTCTCCAAATGGGAAGAGTATGATATTTACTGGCTCGTGGATGAACAAATGCCAGCATGGCCAGCGCTTTGATCCTGAGCCTGGTGTGCTGGGCAGCAGTGGCTTCACGTGGGGCAAAGTGTACTGGGAAGTCGAAGTGGATAGAATCTGGTGGGGGGCAGAGGAGGAGGAAGAAGCAACGAGGTGCAGAGGCGGGGTCAGGGACATGGTCAGCAATAGCTATTTTAGTGGATTCTTAGGCGTCAATGAGGCATATGGTGCTCCTGGCTATAGAAATGAGCGTGAAGAGTTGGAGCAGAAGTGGCCTCAGGGAAACGGAATATGGCTCAAATTCTGCGTAGTAGGGGTGGCAAGAGAGTCGGTGGTAAGAAGAGGATTTCTCCACTTCAGCCCTGAGGAAGGATTCTGGACTCTGCAGCTGTCTCCAGCTGGGGTCTCTGTGTGTACTGGCTCTGATCCTTTCCAGATTCTGTCCTACTGCCCGAGGCAGATTGGAGTCGCTCTGGATTATGATGGAGGGAAGGTAACCTTTACCAATGCTAGGTCACAAGAAGTCATCTATGAATTCTCAACTTCCTTCTCTGGGAAAATTTTTCCTTTTCTGTGGCTTAACTGCATGAGATCCAGACTTACACTGAGACCCTAAGACATGACCTTTTCATTTTGTTCCCCCTTTCTCTTCTTTTTTCTTTCCCTTGTTCCCCTACATCATTCCTAACTTTTGATCTTGACTAGATCACCCTGACAGGTTTCTTAATATCCTAGGCTGACTAGAGCAGTGTGATAGAGGCATGAGTCTCATGTCCTGTCTGTTTTTGTCCCTAAAGTGGGAATGATAATACTTAATTTCCTTTATCTATAATGAAAAGGTTATAATTTCATTTACATATTTATTAAAATATATGCTTCTATTAATTTGTTTCCTTTGCCTCTTTGATTTAGCCCCTGTCTTCATCTGCCACAGAAACAATTGATGAGAAATACTGGTTTTAGATTTGCAACTCCTGCCACTAATTGTAGTTGACTACAACATCTGAGAGGCAGAGATTTCTGATGATTTGGTTCACTCTCCCAGATGCTTACAACAGCAGAGGTTGGATTCTGCCAAGCTAGGAGCCAGGCACTTAAGCCCTCACTTGCTACCTCTCAAATACATATTAGCAGAAAACTGGAACTCAAACCTAGGCACACCAATTATAGGATGCAGGCATCCCAAGTAGGGTCTCTTTTTTTTAAGCTTCATTTATTTTTATTGGAAAATCAGATATACGGAGAGGAAGAGAAACAGAGAGAAAGCTCATCCATCCGTTGATTCATTCCCTAAGTGGCCATAATGGCTGAAGCTGAGCCAGTCCAAAAGCAAGAGCCAGGAGGTTCATCTGGGTCTCCCATGCTAGTGCCAGGTCTCAAGACTTTGGGCTGTCCTCTATTGCTTTCCCAGGCCACAAGCAGGGAGCTGGACAAGAAGCAGGGCTGCCGGGACATGAACCGGCATTCATATGGGATCCCCACATGTGCAAGGCAAGTACCTTAGCCTTTAAGTTACCACACTGAGCCCCAAGTAGGATCTTAACTGCTAGACCAAATCCATACTGCTCCCTTCCTCTGATTTTAAAACCATTAATGGCATGTTGGGATCATCACTCTAAGGCCTCTTTTAATCCTAATTCGCTCCAAAAGATCCCACCTCCTGATATTACTAACATATGAATCAGAGGATTAATTTTCAATGCATGAACTTTTGAAGAACATAATCAAACCATAACTTGGAGAAGTACACTCTAATAATGCAGTTGTAAATGGATGTTTTATTGAAAAGTAAAACCAAACAAATCAAAATCTCTATCAGTATAAGGAAGTAGAAGTATACTGCCAACACAGTATGCTCCAATGTTTGATATTGCAGGGTTGAAGCAATTTACAACCACATTTTTCACATAACAGAGCAATTGTAACTAGTACATTTTAAGTGTTTAACAGTGCAGGTTCAGTATATTGTAGGATGCAAGAGAACAACTTTTATGGGTTAAGAATCCAGATGCCAGCCCCGGCACAATAACCTAGTGGCTAAGTCCTCGCCTTGCATGCACCAGGATCCCATAAGGGCACCAGTTCATATCCTGACTGCTCCATTTCCCATCTAGCTCCCTGTTTGTGGCGTAGGACAGCAGTGGAAGATGATCCAAAGCCTTGGGATCCTGCACCCACATGAAGATCCGGAGGAAGCTCCTGGCTCCTGGCTTCAGATAAGCTCAGGCTTTCCGTCTGATGATTCATTCCCCAAGCGGCCATAATGGCTGGAACTGAGCCAATCCGAAGCCAGAAGCCTCTGCTGGGTCTCCCACGTAGGTGCAGGGTCCTTAGGCTTTTGGCCTTCCTTTGCTTTCCCAGGCCACAAGCAAGGACCTGGATGGAAGCGGGGCTGCCAGGATAAGAACCGGCACCCATATAATGAGATCCCGATGCATTCAAGATGACGACTTTAATCACTACGCTACCGTGCCTGGACTCATGGAAAAGCATATTTACAGAGAGGAGAGACTGGGAGTATGATCTTCCATTGCCTGGTTCACTCCTCAAGTGGCTGCAACTGGCAGAGCTGAGCCAATCCAAAGCCAGAAGCCAGAAGCTTCAACTGGGTCTCCCACATGGATTCAGGGTCCCAAAACTTTACACCATCCTTTACTGCTTTCCCAGACCACAGTCGGAACTGGAAGCAGCCAGGATATAACCAGCATTCATATGGGATCCTGGCACAGGCAAGGTGAGGATTGAGCCACTAGGCTATTGTGTCAGGCCCTAGTAACTGGACATTTTAAGAGCAAATTCCTAAGAAAAATATCAGGACACAAAACTTTGCAATATGCTTAAGGATAAAACCACGTAATTATCACTTCATTAATTAGATATCAGTTAATGTAATCTACTACCTTAAAAAGAGACTTCAGTAGATACAGAAAAATGCTTAACAGGGAGGGCAGCTTGGTCCTGCATCTCACACCAGAGTGCTGGTTTCGGTCCTATCTACCCAGCTCCCAATCCAGCTCCCTGCTTTGTACCTGGATAGCAACAGGTGATGGTTCAAGTACTTGGGTCGTTGCCACCTGTACCGCAGAGCCAGATGGAGTTCCTGGTTCCTGACTCCAGCCTAACCCTAGCTGTTACAACAGAGAGATTTGCTCTCCATTCCAAGACCCACTTCTCTCCTATTCAATGTGTTGTTCACATATTCCAAAACACACTTTCAGTTCTATAACTTGCTTTTCTCTGAGATCTGTCCATGTTGCCATGGGTTTAATTCCTTTTAAGTTTTTAATGTTTCGAGGGATAAAATATTAACCCTTGTAGTTATTTGGGTAAAGAAAAATTACAAGCTAGTTGATCTTCACAGCCCCATTATGATAGATTAGATAGCATTTGCCTCAGGTGATGTTCACATAAAGCTTAAGAGCCCAGCCTGGTGGCCTAGCAGCTAAAGTCCTCACCTTGAATGCACTGGGATCCCATATGGGCGCCGGTTCTAATCCCGGCAGCTCCACTTCCCATCCAGCTCCCTGCTTGTGGCCTGGGAAAGCAGTCAAGGACAGCCCAAAGCCTTGGGACCCTGCACCCTCGTGGGAGACCTGGAGGAAGTTCCTGGCTCCTGGCTTCAGATCAGCTCAACACCAGCTGTTGCAATCACCTGGGGAGTGAATCATTAGACAGAAAACCTTCCTCTCTGTCTCTCCTCCTCTCTGTATATCTCATTAAAAATAAATCTTAAAAAAAAAATAAATCTTAAAAGTGCTGTGAGAACACTGGTGTCTAGTTCCCTACAAGTGGACAGGCATTTCTTGGTGAGGTGGCTGCCATGTCTTGCGACAGAGATGAGGAAGAGTTTATGGGAATTAGAAAGACCTCTGACTTTGGAGAAGGAATAGGAATATGTGCTGGGCTCAGAACTACAGATGGCAAAGGAGAAGAAGCAACGAGAAAGGCACACCAGAAAACCATCATCCTGATTCCAAAAACATAACAAGGAAAAGCATCCCAGGAAGGAAAATAGACAAGCACATCTCAGGGATAGATACAAAATATTAAGAAACTGAATTTTGAATACTTACAATAAGTATGCACCTTTGCACATTAATTTTATTATATCATGGAAATCAAATTTGGGTAAACATTTATAAAACTTATTCATGAAATTAGTAGAATGAAGGACAAAAGGTGTATGTTTATTACAACATGCAGAAAAAAATGTGTGCAAAGTCAATATGGTTTCATGATGAAATTTAGCAAACTAAGAATAACAAGGAATAATTTCAACTTGGCTAAATAAAGTAAACATCTACTGCTAGTGTGTTACTAATGGATGAAAGGCTAAAAGTTTTCTTCCTAGAATCAGCAACAAACCAGACATCTGAGTTAATCATTTTATTCAGTCTTGTTCTTGGTGTTCAACCAATGCAAAAGGTACAAAAATCAAATGGAAACTTATCATAGAAAATGAATTGAACCTGCCCTGATATACAGAAAGCATAAAAATAGAAATTTTTCAGTACTTCCAAAAGTTATTAGAATTAATAAATCAATTTAGCAGGGCCACTGGATTCAGGTTAATATGCCAATATTCAATTTTATTGTTATATTCTAGCACCAAAAAATTAGGAAATAATTCCATAACATCCATGTACAATAATATTGACATTTTTTAGCTTAAAAGCAATATGTATTCCGGATTTAGTCCTGGTGTAAAGAAGTTATTGGTGGAAAAACTAGTGAAATACAAATAAATTGTGTAGTTTATTCAGTTACATAAATGATATTTCTTAGTTATAGTATTCATTGGTTACATAAGATGCTAAAAATTAGAGAACACTTAAGAATAAATGGAACCCTTTGTACTACATTTACAACTTCCTATAAATCAAAACTTATTTCAAAAGAACTAACTTAAAAGTAAAAAAAAAAATGCTTAGAAATGAATTTGATTTGATTAAAAAGGTGCAAATTGGGCTGATGGGCTGGGAACACAGCCTGACCCAACAGCTTAAAAAGCAGCTAGCTCCATCTTACCTCAGGCCAGGCATGCAAAGCAGAACCTCTGCTCCATCAACCGCTTCTGGCTAATGGGCAAGGGGGCGCAGCCTGACTCAACCACTTAAGCAACCGGCTCCATCTTAGCTCCTGCAGCCAGTGCATCTATGGGTGCTGGGCTCCATCCACTGCCCACCCACTGACAAGCTCTAGGGACTTGGGGTTGAGGAATTCACTGCATTGGGACATCCATGGATAAGGCCACTGTGCATGTAGGTGAGGAATGAATCCTGAGGGACTCCCAACAACAGGGCCACTGTACTTGCAGGTAAGTAAGGGAACTGAGAACTGGTGATTTGGAGGAAAGAGACTGGAAGATCTGTATGGATCACACTGATGCACCAGCCCACATGGGAGTCCTGAGATGGACTTGTTAGTGCAGAACACCGCTGACCGCCGCACACTCCAGCTCACAGGAAAGCTAGGGCTGGGGGCCTGTCTAGCAGAGCTAGATCCCAGTACCTGATGATTGTTGGAACAGGGGACAGGTCACATTAGGCAGGACCATGACACTAACCAGTAAGTGAGAGAACCTGGACCAGGGGTAGATTCTGTGGGGGGAAAGTGGGCCAAACCTTGTGGAAATGCAAGTCCTGCTGGTTAGCTCAAGGGTTGGTGGTGATGGGCTGAACTAGGTATGATCATGGAACCTGCCAACATTCATGGGTACTGGGGCTGAGAATAGGCTGGGCAGATCCAGGCTACAGCACCCACATGTGCATCCTAAAACAGGGTGTGGGGCAGGATGGGCCAGGCCACAACATCTACTAGCTCATACAAAGGCCAAGATGGAAGGGCAGGCTATTCAGGGCAAATGCTTGGCACCTGCTGGCGTA